ATGATGATGATGATGGTGATGATGATGATGATGATGATGATGATGATGATGATTATGATGATGATGATGATGCTGATGATGATGATGATGATGCTGATGATGATGACGACGGTGAAGGTGATGACGAGGAGGAGGCCGAAGGGGAAGGAGGAGGAGGAGAAGGAGGAGCAGGAGGGAGATGAGGAGCAGCAGGAGGAGGAGGAGGAGGAGAAACCGGAAAAGGAGGAAGAGTTGGACGAATCGGAGAATGGGGAGTGCCCGACGCCCCGATGCGGACCCTGCTGAACCTCGCGGCTTGGCCCTCCTTCAAGGGTGCGTCTCGTCGGAAGCCCCTCTGCCCGCAAGCGGACCCAGCAGGAGCCCTTCTACGAGGACGAGAAGAAGGAGAGCGCCGTCAGCCCCGAAGTTCTGCGCCGAAGGGCTGCTCCTTCCCTCGAGCGGTCCCAGCAGCAGGCCTACTATGAGGACGAGGAGAAGGAGAGCGCCGTCGGCTCCGAAGCTCTGCGCCAAAAGGCTGCCGAAGAGGAGCGGTGCGGTCGGGGGTATCCGTTGTGGGGGGCGACGGGCTCGGAGGAGGGGGAGGCGGAGGCGGAGGCGGAGGAGGAGGAGGAGGAGGGGAGGAGGAGGACCAGTGACAACCCAAGGCGCAGCAACGATGTTGCTATAAACCTTTCCTCCAAGTTTCCCTTTCTCATGGGCTGCTACAAATAATAGTGGAATTGCGGGAAGAGCCCCATTTGAAGATAACGATATGAGAGTCCCCAATCGTACCAGCACATCAGCGCTGAGACTCCAGTGCCTGGAATAAACGTGACTGGTACGTCTTTGCGGTCCTAATTCGTCGTACCAGGTCATCATTCCTGGGGCTCGAGCACAGCGATCCAACGCGACGTTTGCGTCTTGCCAGAACACCAGTCCTGGGACTTCAACCATACGGATCCTTGGAATGGTTGCATTCTTCTAAGACGAATGTGCTCGGCGCTAGGGCGAGAGCCACATTTTGAAAAGGAGCCTCCCTCAATATTTGAAGCCGTTGTGAGCTGTACGACGAATGTGCACGGTGCTAAGGCGAGAGCCACATTTTCAAAAGAGACCGCCCTCCATCTTTAGAACCGTTGCGCACTTTTAAGTCGAGCATGCGCGACGCTCAGGCGAGAGCTACATTTTGAAAGGCTCCCGCGCTCAATCTGTCATACTGTTGCGAACTTTTATGACGAATGTGCGCGGCGCTAAGACGAGAGCCACATGTTCGAAACCACCCGCCCTCCATCCGTGAAACTGATGCAAGTTCTAAGCTGCGGGGTCGTACATTGTGAGGAAGTCCCAAGCGAAACGTCCGGCCCGCCCAACCGACACGCTTGGGAATGCGACAAGCAGAAGTTATTCATGAGGAAAATGGATGGATGCGGGAAAGGAGCAGGCGGAGGTGGAGGCGGATGCGGAAGAGGGGGAGGAGGGGAAGTTGTGGGAGGGGGATCTAAGGCATGACGACGACGACGAGAACGACGACGACGACAACGGCGGCGGCGTCGACGGGGACGGCGACGGCGGACGGCGACGGCGATGATGATGATGATGATGATGATGATGATGATGATGATGCTGATGATGATGATGATGATGATGATGATGATGCTGATGATGATGATGATGATGGTGGTGGTGATGATGACAATGATGATGATGATGTTGATGATGATGATGCCGCTGCGGCTGATGATGCTGACGACGATGATGATGCTGCTGATGTTGATGATGATAATGATGTTGATGATGATGAGGAGGATGATGAGGATGAGGATGAGGATGAGGATGATGATGATGATGCTGCTGATGATGATGGTGATGATGGTGATGATGATGATGGTGGTGGTGGTGATGATGATGATGATGATGATGATGATGAGGAGGAGGAGGAGGAGGAGGATGGTGATGAGAAGGAGGAGGAGGAGGAGGATGAGGAGGAGGAGGAGGAGGAGGGGAGGAGGAAGAAAAGGAGTAGGAAAGCGAGGATGTTGAACAGGAGACAGCGGAGGTCCCGACCCCTCAATGCGGAGCCTGGTGAACCTCGCATGCCGGCTCTCCTGCAAGGGTGCGTCTCGTCGGAAGCCCCCCTGCCCGCAAGCGGACCCAGCAGGAGCCCTTCTATGAGGACGAGAAGGAGGAGAGCGCCGTCAGCCCCGAAGTTCTGCGCCGAAGGGCTGCTCCTTCCCTCGAGCGGTCCCAGCAGCAGGCCTACTATGAGGACGAGGAGAAGGAGAGCGCCGTCGGCTCCGAAGCTCTGCGCCAAAAGGCTGCCGAAGAGGAGCGGTGCGGTCGGGGGTATCCGTTGTGGGGGCGACGGGCTCGGAGGAGGGGGAGGCGGAGGCGGAGGCGGAGGAGGAGGAGGAGGAAGAGGAGGAGGAGGAGACGGAGGCGTTGGAGGAGGGGGAGGCGGAGGAGGAGGAGGAGGAGGAGGACCGGTGAAAACTCAAGGCGCAGCAACGATGTTGCAATTAGCATGTTCTCCAAGTTCTCGTTTCTTATATATACACATGTACCCGAAATACTGTGAGGTCTTTGCGGGACCTCAGTCCTAAACCTTGCCAGAACACCGTTCTTGGGACTTGAGCGCAGCGATCCAACGTGACAGCTCCGACGTGACAATCCCCGACTCGTGCCAGAACGCCGTTCCTGGGGCCCCAGCCATACGACCCTTTGAAGCTGTTGCATCTTATTAAGGCGAATGTACGCGCGCTGAGGAAGCCACATTTTGAAGAGGAGTAGCCCTCAGTATTTGAAGCTGCTACAAGCTTTTTAAGTCGAATGTGCGCGGCGCTAAGGCGAGAACCACATGTTGAAACGGAACTGCCTTCAGCATGTGAAACCGTTGCGAACATTCGAAGACGATTGAGCACGACGCTTGGGCGAGAGCCACAGGAAGAAAACCGCCCGCTCTCAATCCGTGAAACTGGTGCGAACTTTTCGAATGAATGCGCGCTGCGCTAAGACGAGAGCCACATGTTCGAAAGGACTCGGCCTCCATCTGTGAAACTGGTGCACAGTTGAAGCTTAGGGATCGTAGTTGGTGAGGCAGTTTCAGGCGAAACGCCCGTCCCGCCTTGCCGACACGCTTCGGGGAAGGGGCGGAGGGAACGTCATGGGAGGAGGAACTAGGGGATGATGGCGATGATGACGATGCTGCTGCTGCTGCTGCTGCTGCTGCTGCTGATGATGATGATGATGATGATGATGATGATGATGATGATGATGATGATGATGATGATGATGATGATACTGATGACGATGATGCTGATGATGCTGTTGATGCTGATGGTGATAGTGTTGCTGCTGCTGATGACGATGATGCTGATGGTGGTGATGATGATGCATATGATGCTGCTGCTGATGATGATGGTGTTGGCAATGATGATGACGATGCTGCTGATGATGGAAATGATGAAGAAGGTTATGCTGATGATTCATGAAGGTGATGCTGGTGATGAAGGTGATGCTGGTGCTGATGATGATGATGATGATGATGATAATGATGATGATGACGGTGATTTTGCTGATGATGATGCTGATGCTGATGGTGCTGATGATGATGCTGATGCGGATGCGGATGCGGATGTTGCAGATGCTGCTGATGCTGCTGCTGCCGCTGCTGCTGATGATGATGCTGATGTTGATACTGCTGGTGATGATGCTGATGCTGCTGCCGCTGCTGCTGCTCATTAGCATTATGATGATGCTGCTGCTGAGGATGATAATCGTGATGATGACTACGAGGATGATGATGCTGCTGCTGATGATGTGCTGCTGATGCTGATGATGGTGACGGTGATGGTAATGCAGGAAATGGTGATGATGGTGATGATGATATTGATGATGACGATGCTCATGGTCAGGATTATGATGCTGATGATGATAATGATGAAGGTGGTGCTGCTGATGATGCTAATGATAATGCTGATGATATGGTGAGCACCAGTATGTGGATGATGGTGGTGATGATGATGATGATGAATGTGATGATAGTGATGATGGTGATTATGATGTTGCCGATGCTGATGCTGCTGTTACTGATGATGATGCTGATGAGGTTGATGGTAACGGCGATGGTAGTTGGGATGATGATTATGGTGATGCTGATGCTGATGATGATGCTGATGATGAAGATGAAGATGATGATGACGATGATGGTGACGACGACGACGACGACGACGACGATGACGACGACGACGACGACGACGATGATGATGATGATGATGATGATGATGATGATGATGATGATGATGATGATGATGATGATGATGATGATGATGATGACGGTGAAGGTGATGACGAGGAGGAGGCCGAAGGGGAAGGAGGAGGAGGAGAAGGAGGAGCAGGAGGGAGATGAGGAGCAGCAGGAGGAGGAGGAGGAGGAGGAGGGGAGGAAAAGGAGGAAGAGTTGGACGAATCGGAGAATGAGGAGTGCCCGACGCCCCGATGCGGACCCTGCTGAACCTCGCGGCTTGGCCCTCCTTCAAGGGTGCGTCTCGTCGGAAGCCCCCCTGCCCGCAAGCGGACCCAGCAGGAGCCCTTCTATGAGGACGAGAAGGAGGAGAGCGCCGTCAGCCCCGAAGTTCTGCGCCGAAGGGCTGCTCCTTCCCTCGAGCGGTCCCAGCAGCAGGCCTACTATGAGGACGAGGAGAAGGAGAGCGCCGAAGCTCTGCGTCAAAAGTCTGCTGAAGAGGCGCGGTGCGGTCGGGGGTGCCAAGGGCGGCGGCGACCGGCTCGGAGGAGGGGGAGGCGGAGGAGGAGGCGGAGGAGGAGGAGAAGTAGGAGGAGGAGGACGACGACGACGACGAAAGGGGGGTTGAGGGGGAGAGGGGAGGAGGAAGGAGGGATAGGAGGAATTGTAGGTGGCAACAGAGTTGGAGAGGGGTGGTATCGCTGACTCAGCCGCCTGGCGCCCGGGGGTCAATTAGCCGAGCGAGCGCGACGACGATGATGACGACGACGACGATTGCGAGGGCGGCGGCGGCGGCTGTGGCGACGACCAGCCCCGCGGCCTGCCAGGCTGCCGAGCTACCAGACGAGGAACTGAGCGGCGCGTCCAACGCCACAATGATCCGGGTGCCTCTCGCGGCACCGCCGCAGCCCCTGAGGCGCGGACTGCTGTCGTCGTCGATGTCGTCGTCGTCGTCGTCGTCTTACCCCGTGTCGTCGTCGTCGTCGTTGTTGTCGTCGATGTCGTCGTCGTCGTCGTCGTCGTCGTCGTCGTCGTCGTCGTCGTCCTCGTCCTCGTCGTCGTCGTCGTCGTCGTCGTCGTCGTCGACGTCCCTGCCGCTCGCGCCCGGCTGCGAGGCGTGGGTGCTACGCGTGGCAGCCGGAGGGCTGCCCGCTCCAGGGCGAGGCCCCCGCGCTGCGCGCGGGGGTTGCAGGGGTCGGGAGGGCCCGCGCCTCGACGACGACAACGACGACGATGAGGACGACGACGACGACGAAGACGACGAAGACGACGACGACGACCTCGAAACCGTTTGGTTTACGGTCGGGAGCTTTTTATATAGTGTTGTTCCGCTGGGTCTGGCCCACGGCGCTGCGGCGCGACACGTTACCCACTTCGCGGTCCCGAGGGGTCAACGTCCCGAGCCTTTCGTTGCCTCCGGCCTTGCGGAGAGGAGCGACACGCTGTCCGCTCGTAGGGGATAGCGTGTCGCCATGGCCGCCGTGTCGTTGAAAGCAGGTGTTCTTGGATTCCCAGATCCCGCTCTACTTCAAGCGCCTTCCTACTTCAAGAGTCGATGTGTTTTTGTTGTGTCTTGCGAGGGCCTGACCCCGATCTATTTTATCAGCCTTCCTACCTGATGTTTTTACCTACTTTATCCGACCGACGTGTGAGCTTTTTACCTACTTTATCCGACCGACGTGTGAGCAAATGTTCCTCACTGGATCCCCTGGCGAGAACGGGCACGACGCGGGGGTGGAGGATGAGGGGGGGTGGGGCATGGGGAAAATCGCGTCCTAATTCGTTCCGCCGCCTGGCTTCCGCCCCGCCGCTGGGCCCATTCCTCGATACTTGGGCGCCTCCCGGCGCCAGGAGGCGCCAGGAGTACCAGCTACGCGAGCTGATTCTCTACCCAGCCCTTTGCTGTCCTATCCTTCCGTCCCGCCCAGGACAAGGGGGGGGGGGGAAGGGCGGCCCACGGGCGTTGTCGCGAATACACGGCCACGGGCGGGCAGAACCAGTGGCCCAAATAGGCAGCCTCGCTGCAGCCGGAAGCCTCGGCGCGGACACATGGCTCCTCGAGGTTCGTCCCCTCCTTGCGCAGTACGGTCGGACCAGGTATGAGATCGAGGCTGGTTCGGGGAGGGTGCCCGAATGTTCTTCGTGTTTGTTAAATGTCCCTGTGCATCCTGGGGGAGGGTACCTCGAATGTTCTTCAGTTTGGCCGGCGGAGGGACTCATGTTCTTGAATTCTCGAAGGATGTTCTTCTGTCCTAGGTCTGGCCGTAATTACGCCAGCGGAGCAGGAGAGTTCTGGACGATTTGAGAGCGTCCGCGTGGCACCTCGCACTCCAGAGGACCGCCTCGAGCCCGCAGGGGCCCAGTGCACGCACGGCTCCAGCTCGCTGGTGCTCACTACCTGGGATCTGGCGCGAGAAGTTCGGGGGGGGAGCAAGATCCAAACCGACTCCTGTGGATGATCGATTCCCTCTCCCGGTTTTCCAGAGTCAGTCCACCACTGGAAGAAAAAGACATCCCAGCTAGACGCTTCGCCGGTGAATGTCACAGGGATTGCTTCATTTTGGTCCATCGCCCTCCCCCTCCCCAGAGTCGCTCTTGCCAGTGCTTCTTCGGGCACCCACCCGAGACGCGCGGTCTCTTGCAGCCGCACCGGGTCGCACAGCCCTTCCGCCTGCGCCAAGCTCCAGACCGAGGACAGCGCCGCGGCGCCGCCCTGCTCGCTCGGATCGGAGCGGCCGCGGCCCCCGGAGCGCACGCTGCGTTGGGGGCTGGGGCGCCTTCCCCGCCCGCGTCCCCTGTGTAGGCGGCCGCCGGCTGCGAGGAGGAGGAGGAGGCGGAGGCGGAGGAGCCTCCGGAGGAGGAGCAGCAGGCAGGAGCCAGATGAGTCCACGCCCACCTGCAGGAGGCACGTCCGCCTTGCCCTTTGCTTTGCTTACCCTCTGCTGCAGTTTCGAGCTCTCCAGGCGCGGTGTCGACGCCGAGTCGGGCACGGCCCCTGGGCTGGAGCGAAGTCCACGACAGAGGAAGCGAGTCGTTCCGAGTACGTTTCGGGACACAGCAGAATCTGCTGGAGAAGCCGCGCGTTTTCGCGTTCCCCGTCCCCGCCACGGCCAGAACAGCGTGCCGGTGGACTGGAAGCTGGACGCCTTGGAGGCCATCGACACTCAGGAGCGAGGGGTCGGGACCGTGGCGGTGGGGAGTTGAGCGCGGAACACGGAGGAAGGTTCGGGACGATACAGGGAGAGCATTGAGGCGCACATGGCTTCAAGCGGTGCGAGATTAGTGTTTGGTCCGCTGCCTGGAGTTGGGCTTGTCACGGGTGGCAGCGGGCTGGTGCTTTGATTGGCCAAGCATGCCAGGAGAGGGTCAGGCGGCGGTTGCCGCAGTGTCAGGGGGGTGGTCTTGCTGGCGTGGTGCCGGATGTACTGCTTGCGGTATGAACCTATGCACGGGGCCTGTCTAGATAACGTCCAGACTGGCGTCTGGCTGCTGAGTGCCGTGGGAGGAGCGACGTCGTCAAGTTTGGCATGCTCAGACTATCGCCAACTAATTCCACGCACCACCCCTTTACCACGTGATTGCATCCATTGCTGGGCTGGTGGCCATTGCGCCCGGCTCTGCGGAGCCTAACGACTGCCTGCTCAGTCCAGTTCTCCCCTCCCCTCAGTACGGTCAGGAACTTTTGGATTGCTCCGCAGGTTCTGGCCCACCACGCTTCGGCGCGACACGCTATCCACTTCCAGGCGTCAGCGTCCCGAGCCTTGCCGGGCCCCCCGCCCCGCGGAGCGCAGCGACGTGCTATCCGCTTGCGGGGCGCATCGTGTCGCTGGGGCCGCCGCCGCGACACGCTATCCAAAAGCTCCCGACGGTGTCCTTCCCTCCGCGCCTCCCGTGTTCACCGTCTGGCTCATTCTTTCGGCTGCATGCCTGAAGGGGTAAGTAAGCTCAGTGGCATCACCCTTGCTTCACTGGGTCGCGCTGTCGTTGTGCCGCCTGCTCCCGCCTTTCGCTCGTGTCGAACCAGAACCGTTGAACATTGCGGATTTGGACCACGCACTAAGAAATACGTAGTTGCTTGTGCACAGCGGTGTGCAGAGATCACCAGTGTAGTAAAGCTCATCGTTTCCAGCCATCCAGGTCCATGACTCTGCTGTCTGGGTGGTGTACCCTTTCACTCCCGAGGCGAGGCCGATCCGAACGATCAAGCAGTAGGTGCGGTGCACGCCTTGTTAGCACTGGGCATCCGACCCACGACGGGGCTTCACCGACATTGGGAGGGACCATATGAGTATTTGATCTTCCCGGCCAGATTGCCGGATTGCCTTGCGTTTCTTTAGCCCCTTTGCTCTGTCCGCAACCTTGTAAGGCCTCTGCGTCCTTCTTGCCCGACGCGTCTCAGACCTCGAACGAGCAGAGATTTGAGCAATGTGGGGTGCGAGTTGGCCTTCCCGACTGCCTCACATCGTTACCTCTGCCTTCATTTGTTCGAGATGTGGAATCTGAGGCCTTCGCCGCGACACAGGAAACTACTTCAGGGACGTGGCCACTCGCATAGTGGCCGAACTGCGGCAGCCGCAGCCTTCATGTGGTCGTCATTGCCTATGTGATCGTATGGCCGTGGTCATCACCATAGTCGAGCTTATATTCCGAATCATTTCTGGCTCAAGTGGTGCGCAGATATTTGAGGGCTGATTCGTTGCAGCTGGTCCAAGCTTCCTCTCACCTGCAGACTCGTAAATGTGAGCACGCGAACGTGATCACATGTCTATGACTTCGCTAAACCGGGAGCACGAAGGTGTCGACAGTTTTGTAAGTGAGCGCAGCAGAAGGCTCTAGAGCAACACCCGTTCTACACTTGCCACTTTGAACTGTTGGGCGACATCGTAAGTTGAAATTGGTTTCTGCCCGAGTATTGTCTACGGCAGGAGCATGCCGATATTTGGAGAGCGCCTCCCCAGCTGTGTAGAGAGTGCTGGAGTTTGTTCGAGTTGGAGAGGGTTGGGCGGTGTTGGAGTGTAATTGTTTACGCTTCGCGAGTCCCCACAAGCCCATCCAAACACAGCCGCTCGAAAAAGGTGCGCTGACCGTAGGGTGTTTTCTCTTCCTTCTCCCTCTCTTTGGCTTCTATCTTCCATCCTCCTCTCCTTCTCCTCGTCCTCGTTGCTCCTTCTCTTCGTCCTCCTGCTCCTCTTGGCGTTGCCGTGCGATCTTGGGGCTCTCTTGGGATCTCAGGGAATCGTGGCCCTGGTGCTCTCTTGGGGCTCTCTTGGGGCTCCTTTGGGAGTCTTGAAACCCTCTCGGGGCTCTTTGCGGGAATTTGGGAGGTCTCTTGGGGCCATCTCGGAGTCCATCGGGCAAAGACGGAGAGAGCATTTATTGGTGTACCCCCGTCGGGGCCCGAAATATCGCCTCTTGGGGCTCTCTTGGGCCGCTCTTGGGCGCCTGTTGGGCGCTCTTGGGGCCGTCTTGGGGCCCTCTTGGGCCGTATTGGCCGCCGCTTGGGCCGTCTTGGGGCCCTCTTGGGCAGCCTTGAAGCCGTCTTGGGAGCCTATTGGGCCGTCTTGGGGCGGTCGTGCATGCCTTTTTGGCTGTCTTGGAGCGTCGGGAAGCCGAAAGGGCGGGAACGCTAAAATGTTTGAAATACTCAAGGGGGACATCTGATTTTGGCCTCGTGGGGCCGTCTTAGGGCGGTTCTCGGGGCTCTCTTGGAGCGTGTTGGGGGCATCTTGGGCCGTCTTGGCCTCTCGGGGGCGTCCTTGGGAGGTTCCGCGGCCACTTGGAGCCGTCTTGGGGCGGTCTTGGAGCCTCTTGGGGCTCTCTTGGGCCGCTCTTGGGCGCCTGTTGGGCGCTCTTGGGGCCGTCTTGGGGCCCTCTTGGGCCGTATTGGCCGCTGCTTGGGCCGTCTTGGGGCCCTCTTGGGCAGCCTTGGAGCCGTCTTGGGAGCCTATTGGGCCGTCTTGGGGCGGTCGTGCATGCCTTTTGGGCTGTCTTGGAGCGTCGGGAAGCCGAAAGGGCGGGAACGCTAAAATGTTTGAAGGCCCACAGAAAATCAATGGTTTTGGTTCCTTGGGGCCGTCTTAGGGCGGTTCTCGGGGCTCTCTTGGAGCGTGTTGGGGGCATCTTGGGCCGTCTTAGCTTCTCGGGGGCGTCCTCGGGAGGTTCTGCGGCCACTTGGAGCCGTCTTGGGGCGGTCTTGGAGCCTCTTGGAGCCCTCTTGGGCCGCTCTTGGGCGCCTGTTGGGCGCTCTTGGGGCCGTCTCGGGGCCCTCTTGGGCCGTATTGGCCGCCGCTTGGGCCGTCTTGGGGCCCTCTTGGGCCGTCTTGGAGCCGTCTTGGGAGCCTATTGGGCCGTCTTGGGGCGGTCGTGCATGCCTTTTGGGCTGTCTTGTAGCGTCGGGAAGCCGAAAGGGCGGGAACGCTAAAATGTTTGAAGCGCCCACGGAAAATCAATGGTTTTGGTTTCTTGGTGCCCTCTTAGGGCGCCTCTCGGGGCTCTCTTGGAGCGTCTTGGGGACCTCTTGGGCCGTCTTAGCTTCTCGGGGGCGTCCTCGGGAGGCTCCGCGGCCACTTGGAGCAGTGTTTTTGGCGGTCTTGGAGCCGCTTGGGGCTCTTTTGGGCCGCTCTTGGGCGCCACTTGGGCGCTCTTAGGGCAGTCTTGGGGCCCTCTTGGGCCGTACTGGCCGCCGCTTGGGCCGTCTTGGGGGGCCGTCTTGGGCCGTCTTGGAGCCGTCTTGGGAGCGCTCTTGGGGGCCTTGGGAGCGCTCTTGGGGCCATCTTGGAGGAGATCGGTCAAAGAAGACGAAAGCACTTATTTGCCCCCCCCCCTGGGGCCACGATCCTTGTGAGGGGTGTCAAAAAATGACCCCCCAGGGACCGACAAAGGACGCCCCGGCGACCCGCGGCCCCCCCTCTCCAGGCCCAGGGGGAGGGGGTAGGGGGAGTGATCAAATTACCCCCTCCCCGCCCGCAAGCCGTCTCGCTCACTCCCACCCGCCCTCCCAACACATACGTAGCCGAGTCTGGCCCGAGCCTGAGCATATTCAGCAGTCGTCTTGGGATGGACAGCTACTGGGGGCCAATCTGGCGCCGCCGCCGCCGCCGCCGCCGCCGCCGCCGCCGCTGCCGCCGCCGCCGCCGCCGCCGCCGCCGCCGCCGCCCCCGCTGTCCGCCGCCGCCGCGCCGCAGCCGCCGCAGCCGCCGCCGCCGCCGTCGCCGCCGCCCCCCGCTGCCAAACGCCGCCGCCGCCGCAGCCGCCGCCGCCACCGCCGCGCCGCCGCCGCCCCGCCGCCGCCGCCGCCAACGCCAACGCCGCCCCCGCCCCCGCCCGCCGCCGCCGCCGCAGCCGCCGCCGCCGCAGCCGCCGCAGCCGCCGCCACCGCCGCCGCAGCCGCCGCAGCCGCCGCCGCCGCCAAGTGTACTCTGTATTGTTTTTTGACAGGGATGGCGGGGGGGGGGGGCGCATCGGGTTGGCTGCGCATGTTCCGAATTTGGAGGCAGAGTGTGTTGTGTATTGTTTTTTACAAAGGGATGGTGGGGGGGTGTCGGCATGGACCCTGGCTGGCCCCCAGTCGCCTGGGGGAGGGGGTGTTTATTAATAGGGAACAGTGCAAAACCCCTCCCCGGAGGGGAAGACGGGGGTTGATAACAGAGAGGACTATCTAAACCACTCGCGCCCTAAAGGGCTGGTGGGATTCTGTGTAGGTGGGCAGTTCTGGAGATCACCCAACTCGGCTGGTTTGGGTAGAAGTCTGGCGGGTAACTCATTGGTCCCAGCACCACCTTGAACACCATTGTAAGTTTGACGTCTTGTTCCCATTCGTATCGCGCGAAGGGAAATCCACCCTTGCCCACTAAACTGAACAGTTACAGTAATTGCCCAATGAGCAGCACATGTCAGCGCACTTGACATCTTCATGTCTCTGGAAACCAGCCTGCCATTCCTAAAGCTGCCTGAATCGCAGCAGGACGAATCAGGGTCGTGCTGGCTTTGTAGTTTGGTACCTGGATCCGCAGACGCGCTGCAATAATCCTTGGGCAAGCGCGCAATCAAAGCCTAGAAGAAGAGTTGGCGGCTCCACGATTCGTCTTCAGTGGGCGCAGGCACATGCTTGACGAGATTCTCGCAACAGGGCCGAGCCCTCGTTCCTGTGGCCCAGAGCCATCTGCATACTTCTCGAGTCCGAGCCTGCGGGCGGGGGGAAGCACTGATCCAGACGTTCCAAATGGGGGCGGAGTGGATGAGGTCGGGGGATCACGCCGCATCGCTGATGCATCGGCGATGCGGCGCGATCTGGATTCCGATCTCCTCCGCCCCGACGTCGCCGATGCATCGCCGATGCATCGGCTGGTGCGATCCACCAGCCCCGCCCGCGCCCAAGCTGCAGCCCGAGCTCGACCTGAGCCCGAGCCCGAGCTGCAGCCCGAGCAGCAGCCCGAAACCCCGCGCCCGACCCCGTGCCGAAGCTCGACCTCGATCTCGCGCCCGAGCCCGAGCCCAAGCTGCTGTAGCCCCGCCCGAGAGGTCGCTGCACAGTCAAAACCGATGGTCAGGGCGCACATTGAGGATGCAAGGCTCTTGCACCACCTAAATTTGACGCCCTTGCATGTCGAAACTGGCTAAGGACCCAGACATCCTCCGACATGGTTTTTGTTCAGTCCGCGGTCCCAGAGCTCTCGACCTCCTTCCCTGAGGTCGTTTTCCCCAATCTATGTTTGATGGTCCCGGGGCCCGATAACGAGCCCCGGGGCCAAACCGCCGGGCTGAAAAGTCCGTATCCTCGGAGATCTGGGGATTGGCCGTGGAGGCAGGGATGCAGGGGTGCCCTTGCGGAAACACCACGTCCTCGCCATGGATGCTCTGGCTTCCTGACTCGCCAGCCACCAAAACCAAACCACCCCGACCCAACCCGAAGGCCCCAATTTGCCCCCCCCATTCTCGGTGGGGGGGGGCGTCGGGGAGCATCGAAAAAGCACGTTGTCTGCACGAACGACATGGGTACGGAAAGAATTGGTACAATGCCCAACAGCAGTTTCTGTTCAGTTTGAACAGGACTCGCTGTCCGCGCCGCCGCGGCCTGTGTCCTTTTGGGACAGGAGGCCGCCTGCCCAACAGCGGCCGCTGTTGGTTTGGGACAACATTTGTTGTTGGGCATTGTACCCATTCTTTCCATGTCCATTTCGGGCGTCCACAACGTGTGGCACCCGTGGCCCCCCTGGCCCGAAACCTGGGTCTTCGGGTTCGGCTGGGACGCGGTCCGGCGGGCAGTCATCGCTCGCGGCACCCGGCGCCCCCTCGCGCGGCGCGCGCTGCGCCCCGGGCGATGGCCTCGCGGGCCGGGCTGGCCCGCGGCCTGCGCAGGTCCGCCCTGCTGGCGCCGGTCGCGTACGGGGCCCTGCAGGCGGCCCGCGCGCCGGAGGGCCCGCGCGCCTGCGTGCCCGCCTCGGGCGCTCGGCTCCACGGCCGCGCGGGCCGCGGCGCGGGCGGCGCGCGGGCCGCCGTCGTGCGCTGCGCGGGGCCGCCGCCGGCGGAGAGCAGCAGGCGCCCGTCGCTGGTGCTCTTCGGGGACTCGGGGGGCCCCCGAAGCCAGGGCGCCGTCCTCTCCCTCGCTCGCTCTCGCTCGCTCCTCGTCGTGCCTCGCTCCTCGCGCTCCGCTCCGCCCCCTTCCCCTCGCCGCCCCCATCCGCTCTCTCGACTCGTCGCCGTCTTCGCTCCTCGGGGGGAGGAACGGGGGAGCACGGTGCGGCGGCAGGCTTGCTTCTCGGTGGTGGCAGCGTTCCCCACATGGTCGCCATTGTGGTCGTGGTGCTGGAAAAACCAGGACATTGTAAGCCAGACCTTCTGTAGAAATGGTAGGATGGGTGATGTTTTGACCCACAGCTGCAGTTTTCTCGGGTGCGCCAAACCTCGGGGCACCCGAGAAAACAGCAAGCCACGACATTGGCGGCCAATGCCGTGTTTTGTCAGAGTCCCCCTTTACGGGGCCCGAAGGACTCTATCACGCAGCAGTCCTTCTTGGCGGCGCGCACAAGCAGATGGCGCGGTGTGGGCGCCCACGGCAAGGGCCCTCTCGGAAGCGCCTGGATATTTCTGTGGAGGCTTTTTGGAATCCTGGAGGGCGTCTAAGAAGTCACATCTGCCTTCCTAGAATGCCGCCCCCCCCCACTCGCGCCAAACCTTTGTGTGCGCCGCCAACCTTCTCGGAGTGCGGCTGGGGCGCGGGGCTGTACAATTGGTTCCACCGCGCCGCCGACGTCGTCAATCGCGGTTTCTCCGGCTACAACACCCGCTGGGCCAGGGTCATCTTACCGGGCATCCTGGACGCGTCGCCGGGGCCCATCATGGCGGTGACGCTCTTCTTCGGGGCCAACGATGCGGAGAGCACCTCGCAGCACGTGCCAGTGGAGGAGTACGAGGACAACCTCAGGGCCATGATCGACATGGTGAAGGCTGCGTCTCCCGGAGCGGCCATCATCGCCATCACGCCCCCGCCTGTGGACCACTCTCGGTGGCCGACAAGGTCCAACGAGCAGGTGGCTCCGTACGCGGCGGTCGTGCGCGGCCTGCCCGTGACGGCCGTGGTCGACCTGTGGGGGCACATAGATGTCGCCGACCTGCACGATGGGCTACACTTAGGGCCCGACGGCAACCGCAAGGTGTGCAAGCTCCTGAAGGAGGCGATGCGCAGCACCCCTGGCCTCAACCCAGAGGACGGGCCAGACGGCACGCCGCTGTTGCCGATGCACTACCCCCACTGGAGCCACCTGTCGGGGAAGACAGAGGAGCAGGCATCGGCCATCCTCTCTGGATGGAAGTGGCCCCAGTGACGCGGACGTCTTTGGCGGCGTGGAGGCTACATCGTCGCCATCGTATCGTGAAGCAGTTTCGTTTTCTGCGCCACCCCAAGTGTCCATAGCTCACTCTTGCAGGTGGCCATGCGTTTACTCCTGGCTCCTAGCGCCACGTGGTGCAAGCTAGCACGTTGCAACAAACTGGAAGGGCCACCATTCAAAAAAGAGAGTCGTAACGCGTCTGCGCTGCGGCGTTGCCGTGTTCGAGCTCGCGCCCCACCCTCGAGACATGACCGCCATCATCGGGCCTTCACCTCCACCCCCTCCTCACTGCAGCCCTGTCCTTGCTCTCGTGGCCCTTCTTCCTCGCACTGAACCTCGGCATCGTCGCTCGTGGTTGTTCCAGCAGGGTCGGGCTGGAGGGGGGGGCGTGACGCCTCTCGGCGGGCCGTCAGCCGCCGCTCGAGGGCCGAGGGCGTGCCCTCCGTGCTCCACCACGCGCTCGCCCGAGGAGGGCCCTGGCCTCCGTCGGGCTCCCTGGGGGTGCCCGCCGCCCCTCCCCCCGCCCTGGCAGCCGGAGCTTGCTCCTGCGCTGACGTTCCCGCCTGGCTGCGGGGATCTCGCGGGGCAGGGCGTGCGCCCTGTTTCGGGTGGGGTTCGCGTGTGCATGTACATAGACATGTGCGAGCACGATATGTCTGTTATATATATATATACTCGAGAGAGAGAAGGGGGGAATGAGAGAGAGAGGGAGAGATATACATATGAAGAGAGAGAGAGAGAAGGAGTGTCATTGATTCAGGTAGGGTGAAGCTCAGGCGCGCGGCCTTCGCATCGTATCGCTGAGTGCGCAGTGGGCGTCTTACTGAGGCGCATGCCTGCATCCGTCCTCAAGCGAGAGCTCGTATCTGTGAAAACAGTGGCCTGAGAGGCACATCGTTGCACCCCCCTTAGGCCGTGCCTACGCTTCACGCCCTCTGGAACTTTGCATTGGGCCTGCGTCGATGGTGCAGCATCAAGCACCTCGCCCACGCAAGAGAGAAGACAGCGCAGCCTTGCCCTGCTGCTAGAGTCACCCTGTCTTCAGTCCCGGGAGACAGGCGGCGTGCTTCATGCGCAAGCAGCACTTCGACACTTTCTGCGGCACCAGGAGCACCAAGATGGTCTCACCTGATAGCGCTATTGTGATCTCGTGTTCATATGCAACGGGTGGGAGAGAGGAAAGGCGATGTCCTCGGGCGGCTCAAAGCAGCCCCAAGCGGGCCCCAGGGCCCAAGCGGGCTCAAGCTGGCCCCAAGACGCCACAGGAGAGCCCCGAAGCGGCATTCGATGGACTAACAGGTCCCCAATACGGCTCAAGGTGGGCCTGACATCGCTCCAATATTGTCGCAAGAGACCTCTCCAGGGGGCTTACGGGCCTCAGATGACCGATGATGGCCCCAAGACGGCCCAAGAGGCCCCCCAAACGAGTCCAAACTGGCCCCAAGAGACTGCCCCTGGACACGTCCCCCTGACACGTCCTATGGAACGTTCTCTGGGACGTTCCCCCTGGCCCCCAGACAGCCCTCAGAGAGTCTGAGAAGGCACCCGCAGGGGCCTTCGTTCCAAATCGGCCGACATGTTCTATCACATTCCACCACCACCAGGCCCAGAACGTTCCAAGATCTCCCTTGATGCCCCCCCCCCCTGGACTCGAGAGTAGCACTGTCGAGGGCCCGCGGACCTTTGCTGAACCGGAGGGATATAGGAGAAGGGGGGAGACGGAGGGAGGATAGGAAGAATGAGGTGGAAGAGGAGGAGGAGGAGGAGGACGAGGAGGAGGACGAGGAGGAGGACGAGGAGGAGGAGGAGGAGGAGGAGGAGGAGAATCAGGATGAGAAGCAGGAGGAGAAGCAGGCGGAGCAGGAGGAGCAGGAGGAGCAGGAGGAGAAGCAGGCGAAGCAGGAGAAGCAGGAGGGGAGGAGTAGGAGCAGGAGGAGGAGGAGGTGGAGGAGGAGGAGGAGGAGGAGGAGAAGGAGGAGAAGGGGGAGGAGGAGGGGGAGGAGAAGGGGGGGGGAGGGTGAGGAGGAGGAGGAGGAGGAGGAGGAGGAGGAGGAGGAGGAGGAGGAGGAGGAGGAGGAGGAGGAGGAGCAGGAGCAGCCGAGGGAGGATGGCGTCCCCAGCTCAGGCGTTCAAGGCTGCACGCCGCCTGTGGCCCAGAGTCCTTCTGCAGCGAGCGGCTTGCGCCTTGGGAAAGCCGCGATCCGTCAAGGGTGAACGTCCCACGCGGTGTCAGAAGCCACTCTGCGCAAGTCGTCACGGCACGAGCTCGCCATGGGAGGAGAAGGCGCTGCGCTCGGCTCCCGCGAGGTCTTCGTCCCCGAGGACAGGGCCGCAGAGACTGGCGCGCCCGAGAAGGCCTCGGCCGAGGAGCGCGACGTGGACACCTACGTGGTGTCTGGGCCGGACGACTCGAACACTTCGACGGTGCTTGGGCCCGCCGGCCAGGAGGGCTCGGCCGAGAGAGCTGCCGGAGGGCTCGTGGGCAGGATCGTAGAGCCCGCCGCGCTGCACGAGGGTCTGCCGGAGTGGTGGTCGCTCATCGTCGCCGGCGCCCGGCGGCGAGCACAAAGAGGGGCATCGAGCAGTGGCGAGGCGTCCTGGCTTGCCTGTAGGCCCACCAAGGAATGTTATCAGAGCCTCTTGTGTTTTGCACGAAGTGTTCTCAGAACATGTCTGGCTGGGGCTGTCCGGTTTTAGCACATCGGCTTTCTGCTCGAAGAACAACTGTTTCGTTACTATAAGATGTGTGGGTTCTACGGACATTTCTTATGGGTAGTCGGGACGTTCGGTCCATGCTCAAGGGCGGGGCGAGATGGGCGCTCTTCTGAGAAGGGTCCCCGCCGTATCTCGGTCAAAGATAGCGTCCTGAGGGATGGGGTCCTAATGACGAGCTGCTTCAAACAGCGTGAAGCCACACTTGGAGCCCTTCCAGTCCTTAGGAGCCCATCCTTCAGGACCTCATCTTTGGACCACCGATTCTCGGGAGCCCCTCTCAGACTGGAGCCCGCTGGGGGTCTGAGGTTGCCCGGCGCAGGCTCCGGCGAGCAAGCGAGGTGGGGGAGGCCAGTTTGAGGCGTTGGGCTCGGGAAGGGTTCAGTTTCTTGTTGGCCTCCAGGATTCGTTTTCGGGCCCTGGGACAGTCGAAAGCAGACGCAGGGTGAACACCTGCTCCAGAGACCCGGTAGGGGTCTGGGGACATCCTCAGAGGCTCTCTCATCGGCCTCACCCAAACATATTGATACTGTGTGTGCGTCTCTTCCGCAGGTGCGACATGCGCGCTTGAGAAGTCTTGTAGTCTACGCTCGGTGGCGGGCTCTTTCTGGCCATACCGCTCGGGAAAGTGTAGATTCTAAGATGATCGGTTCGGACGAGAGCCCCCCCGGGGGGGGCCTGTTATCAGTATGTTCTTCTGCGTCCCATCTCAGAGGCCTTCGCAGGGGCCCTCGGAGCAGGGCCACCCCTTCCAAGGACCCCCCCGACGTCGGGATCTCAGAAGGCCGCCTCATTCGCCGCATTACCCCAGAACTGCTTCCCGGACCGCTCCTGTGGCCCACCTCGGCAAGTTTTTTGAGCTGCATGCAGCCGTGGCCACAACGATACTTTGGGAGGCCAAGAACGGGCGAAGGCTGCCTTTCTCAGAATGCCGCCCCCCTCGCCCTGCGCCTCGAAGACACCCCCCTAAAAACGGCATCGGCATGAACCTTCGAAGGTCCGCGGGTGTCTTGCGTCGGCGCTGGCCCCCCCTCCCCACACCCCTGGCGGCGCCTCCAGCGCCGCCCCCCGCGCGCTCCGCGCGCCAGGGACGGTGCAGGGAAAGGGGTCCAGTTGCCGACCCAAGAGAGGTCCGCGCGGACGCCCCTGTGTCGGGCTCTCATTTCGAATGCAGCGCCGCCATCTCCACTTCGCCCTCCCTCGCCTCCCTCCGCTCCTCCACCTCCTCCTACTCCTCCTCCTCCTCCTCCTCCTTCTCCTTATCCTCCTCCTCTTATTCTCCTGCCCCATCTGCTTCCTGCCTGTCACACCTTGCTGTGTTCCGCGGCTCCTGCGCCTCGCCTTCCACTGGGGGGCTGCGAAGCGCGAAACTGTCGCCACCTTCAAGGGCTGCTGGGGGGTCCAGCACAGTGGGGTCCTACGGGGACGCAGACTGGACCTCGCCTTCCCTTCGGGGTGCTGCGAAGCGTGAAACTGTCGCCACCTTCGAGGGCTGCTGGGGACTCCTGCACAGCGGGGTCCTACGAGCACTCAGATTAGACATCGCCATGTCTTGGGGGCTGCAGAGAGTGAAACTGTCTCTATTGTTGTTGGCTGCTGGGGGGTCCAGCACAGTGGGATCCTACGGAGACTCAGATGAGATCCCGCCATGCCTGGCCTGAGGTGCTTCGAAGCGTGAAACTGTTGCCACCTTCGAGTGCTGCTGGAGTCCATCCAGCACAGTACGGTCCCAGGGGGACTCGGATTCGATCTCGCCATGCTTGGGAGGCTGCGAAGCGTGAACCTGTCGCCACCTTCGAGGGCTGCTGGGGGGTCCAGCAAAGTGGGGTCCTACGGGGACTCAGGCTGAACCGCGCCGTGCGCGGGGGGGTGCGCTGCGAAGTGCGAAATGAAACTTTTGCCACTTTCAAGAGCTGCGTTCAGTATCGTTTAACCGACCCCCATCCCCATCCCCATCCCCCTTCGAGACCCCCACCAGATTACCCCCCCAGTTGGGGATACACCCCTCGAAGCCCGAGGGGAAGGGCCTATATCCCCATCTAGGGGGTAAATCGGCCAGTGGGGCCCAGGCCACGCCGCTGGGGCTAGGGATCGGATAAGCGATGCTCATGCGTGGGGGTCCAGCACACCGGGGTCATACGGAGGCTCAGAATTAACTTCGCCGTGCCTAGCAGTGGACGGCTGACCACTTCAGACGCCAAGGCGACTTGGCGTCGGCGTCGCTGCCCATCAGCGAGCCATTGAAAAATTCGCCAACGTCCTTTGTCATGTCTCCTCCCTCGTTGTCGTCCTCTTCCTCCTTTCCCCTCTCCCTGTTCCCTCGTCGACTTTCGGCCCCTTTCTGTCCACCTCCTTCCCTTCGTTCCCGCCCCCTTCCTCTTCGAGCATGGGACCAGCCTCTCCTTCTTCAATTTCTGTCCTGCTGAGTCGTGCAAGGCCCGGGCAACCCATGCAGCTTGCGCAACGAGAGACGGTTTATTGTGCTGCCATCGTCCATGACAGTTTGGGCCAGCTACTCTGACCACGCGATGCACATGGGTTGGGTACGTCGCAGGATTATGTTGTTTTGTTGCTTCGCCCTCCCTCCCCCTCCTCCCCTCTTGTGCGCACCGCCAGGGCTCGAAGGCGCGCAGGGGGTTGTGGGGCGAGAGAGGCTGCTTTCCAAGACGGCATGGGGGCTTCTTCTCAGGAGCCCTCCGCACACTGAGCACCCCATGCGACATAGGGCTGCGCAGGAAGTGCGCAACAGTGCTCAGCAAACGCCAGCTGTGAGGGTCGGGGTGCGTGTCTGGCCTCGGAAGAAATGAGCGAACACTCATGCCACAATCATCTGTCGATGCCCCCTTCCAAGGGTCAAAGTTGGCGGTGGGTTCAATGAGTTGCACTTCGACCGCGGTCTTCCCTGTGCGTGCCAACTCTGCATTTGGAATGGAAGGGGGGTGTCCACTTATTTGTTTCCCTCTGTATCTTCTCCCTCCAGCCTCAGAATCTCCCTTCCCGCCTCGCCCCACCCCTTGGTGCGTATCGCCGAGGCGCTCCTCAGGAAAGCTTCAGCCTGGTCTCGCGCCCGCCCGAGAGCCCCGGGTGCTACTTCTACGTCCCCGCGGGCTGCCAGGGCCAGGACGACGCCGATGGCCGTGCCCCGCGATGGTGATGAAGATGAAGATGATGATGATGATGATGATGATGATGATGACGATGATGATGATGATGATGATGATGATGATGATGATGATGATGATGATGATGATGCTGATGCTGATGCTGATGCTGATGCTGATGCTGATGCTGATGCTGATGCTGATGCTGATGATATGATGATGCTGATGATGATGATGATGATGACGATGACGATGACGATGACGATGATGATGATGATGATGATAATGATGATGATGCTGATGATGACGATGAGGAGGATGATGATGATGATGATGACGACGACGATGATGATGATGATGATGACGACGATGCTGATTATGATGAGGATGAGGATGATGATGAGGAAGAGGATGATGATTCTAGTGGTGATAATGATGATGGCGATGCTGATGATGCTGATGTTGGTGCCGATGATGATGCTGATGATGATGCTGATACTCAGGATGACGATGACGATGCTGATGCTGCTGATGATGAAGTTGTTGTTGCAGATGATGGGGGTGATGATGATACTGATGATGATGATGCTGATGATGATGATGATGATTCTGACGATGCTGATGAGGATGATGCTGCTTATGATGCTGATGATGCTGCTGATGATGATGAGGATGAGGATGAGGAAGACAATGAGGATGATGATGATGATGATGATGATGATGGTGAAGATGATGATGATGATGATGATGATGATGATGATGATGATGATCATGATGATGATGCTGCTGATGATGATGATGATGATTATGATGATGATGATGATGATGATGATGATGATGATGGTGATGCTGATGGTGATGATGATGATGATGATGCTGATGATGATGATGATGATGATGATGATGATGATGATGATGATGATGATGATGATGATGATGGTGATGATGGATGAGGAGGAGGGGCTTGCGGAGGAGGAGGAACAAGCGGATGAAGGCATGCAGACAGAGGTGCAGGCTGGGCGGCAGTGCTGCGTCTCTGGTGCAATAGGTGATGCACTGGCTCCCGATTGGGCACGGCACGCGCTGCCGTTTCGGCTGCGGCCACGACCAAGACTCGATCCTGAACTTCGCTTCATGCCGGATCGTCCAGTCGCTGCGCTACAGAAACCACCTCCTGGGGCGCGAGCACTGGCTCGCTTTCTCCGGGCCCAGGCTGACCGATGACGAGCTCACCAAGTGGGCAGTCGGAGTGAACGTGCTGTATCGCGCTCAGAACTTGAGCCGCCATGGCTCCTCCCCCGCCGGCGATTTCGCAGGGTTCTTTCGCGAGTACTGCAGCGAGGCGCGTCGAGGGCACTTCCGGGACGAGGACGTGGACGCGGCCACCGAGGAGTAGGTGTTCCGCGTTCCTGGGCACGCACGCGCGGACTTCCTCTTGCTCCCTCGCTCATGGCCTCCTCTCCCGTGTCCTGCGCGTGCAAATTTGGAGCTCTTTTTGCTGAGCCTTCTGATGTCGCTATGGCATCGGATTGTGTCGTGCTCGCCATGCGTTGAGTTTCTCTGCCTTTCGCCCGAGCAGCTTGCTCGCGTCACAGCTGGGAGGGCGCTGGTGCTCTTCGTCCTCGTCTCTTTCCTTCTCCTTCTTCTATGCTGCTCCGCAGCTTTTCGCGCACAGAGTTGTGAGCTGTAGCTCGCTGGGAGCCTCTGTGGCGTATGGGTTCAGCGCGGGACGGGGCCCGCTTCGCTGCCCATGATTTCAAGCGTTCGTCGGCTGTGCCGTCCGATTCGTCTGCTCCATGTTTCCTCGTCTCTTCCCTTCCTCCTCTCCTCCCTTCCCCTCCTTTTGGCCGGTGTTTTTTTTACTTATTGCATTGGCCAGGGTTTAAAGCAGCCGATGTACCTGACATCCGTTTTGGTAACCACGCCGCCCACTCTCCCTCCTCGTCTTCCTTTCCTTCCTCGTCCTCGTCCTCCTCCCTTATCCTCTTCTCGCCAGTTCTTCTTCTACGATGGGCTCTTCTCGCCAGTTCTTTTTTTACTTTTGTGATGTTGCTGTACTTTAAGCCACCGGTCAGGCTCTGCTGCGTTTCGCCACGGAGTGCACGGGTTTCGAGAGATGTTGCGGTCGTCCCCTCCTTCATGCCCCTCCATCTGTTCCAAACCAACAAGACAGGCGCAGGCGGAGTGGGAGGACTTCTATGCTGTGGGATGCGCAGGGGCAGGAGGAGATGAGGAGAGGATGAACTGAGAAGAGGAGAAAGTGCGAAGATGATGGAGGATGATATGAGGAAGAGGGTGAAGTATAGAGGAAGAGGAGGAGGAGGAGGAGGAGGAGGAGGAGGAGGAGGAGGAGGAGGAGGAGGAGGAGGGGGGGGAGGAGGAGGAAGTGGAGGATGAGGTGGAGGATAAGAAGGAGGGGAATGAGGAAACGGGCAGTGAAAATGACGACATGTTGAGGAGAAGCTGAAAGACGGAATATGGAACCTGACATGGGGGAGAGTAGGAGGGCATTCGATACATCCACTCCACAATCAATCATGGACGGGTGCCAGGGATGTGGGCCATAGGGGTCAAACTTGCCGTGAATTGTGCAGAACTTCCACCTCGCTTGGTTACTTGCGACAGACCTGGCTAATTTGCAGTTCGGTTTTGGAGAGCGCTTCGACTGTGGCGGCTGCAGAGTGACCATCTGTCAGCGCCCAGATACGATCAATCGTTGGACGATTGTCCAAGACGAAAGATAGCGAGAGACCGTGGTCGGATCGTCAGGGTCGGAGGCATCAGGGGGCGTCCGCTCGCTGCTGATGATCGACCGCGCTCTTTGGCGAGTCTCCCTTGGGAGGCCGAGAGGGCGCTTGGCGGGATGACGAATTCGCCTCTCCCGAACAGGGCCTGTGAGTAGGGAAAATGAGGATGATGAGGAGGAGGATACGGAGAAGGAGGAGGAGGAGGAGGAGGTGGGAGGAGGAGGAGAAGGAGGAGGGATGAGGGAGAATGAGGATGAGGAGGAGGAGGAGGACGGAGGAGGAGGAGGCGGTGGAGAGGAGGAGGAGGAGGAGGAGGAGGAGGAGGAGTGGAGGTGAGGGCGGGGGCGGAGGAGAAGGAGGAGGAGGAGAGGGCGGACGAGGAGGAGGAGGAGGAGGAGAGAGGAGGAGGAGGAGCAGGAGGAGGAGGAGGAGGAGGAGGAGGAGGAGGAGGAGGAGGAAGGAAGGAGGAGGAAGAGGAGAGGAGGAGGAGCAGGAGGAGGAGGAGGAGGCGGACGAGGAGGACGAGGATACGGAGAAGGAGGAGGAGGAGGAGGAGGTGGGGAGAGGAGGAGAAGGAGAGGGATGAGGGAGGGAAGAGGATGAGGAGAGGAGGGAGGGACGGAGGAGGAGGAGGAGGAGGTGGAGAAGGAGGAGGAGGAGGAGGAGGAGGAGGAGGAGGAGGAGGAGGTGGAGGCGAGGGCGGGGGAGGAGGGAGAAGGAGGAGGAGGAGGAGGAGGCGGGGACGAGGAGGAGGAGGAGGAGGAGGATGAGGAGGAGGAGGAGCAGGAGGCGGAGGAGGAGGAGGAGGAGGAGGAGGAGGAGGAGGGAGGAGGAGGGAGGAGGTGGAGGAGGAGGAGGAGGAGGAGAAGAAGAGAAGGAGGAAGAGGAGAAGGAGGAGGAGCAGGAGGAGGAGGAGGCGGACGAGGAGGACGAGGATATGGAGAAAGAGGAGGAGGAGGAGGAGGGGGGAGGAGGAGGAGAAGGAGGAGGGAATGAGGAGAATGAGGATGAGGAGGAGGGAGGGACGGAGGAGGAGCAGTAGGAGGAGGTGGAGAAGGAGAGGAGGCGGAGGTGGGTGGAGGAGGGGCGGAGGAGGAGGAGGAGAAGGAGGAGGAGGAGGAGGAGGAGCAGGAGGCGGAGGAGGCGGAGAAGGCGAAGGAGGCGAAGGAGGAGGAGGAGGAGGAGGAGGAGGAGGAGGAGGAGAAGGAGGAGAGGGAGAGGAGGGAGTGAAGGAGGAAGAGGAGAAGGAGGAGGAGCAGGAGGAGGAGGAGGAGGAGGAGGCGGACGAGGAGGAGGAGGAGCAGGAGGAGGAGAAGGAGGAGGATAAGGAAGATAAGGCCGAATGTGGATGATGGATAAGGGTGACGAGGAGGAGATGATGTCGGTGGCGGT